CTTATGGCTGTCTTGTGGTGGATGAGAGGAGGAGAAACAGAAAATAAGAGCTTCTTGTTTGATGTATCTACCGTACCGCTGCCGCCTATTTATACAGAAGATGTGTACATCTGATTGGTAGACATGAAGAATCATGCCATTGCATCTCCCACATGCTGTCTGCTATGCCTTGAGATCGCAACATTAAAGTCTTCTCATGTTCAGTACATTGTTTTCTGTGCCTACTGTCCATGAGATGAGCCACCACATTATCATGTTCCAGCCATTGGCAGCAACAACCAATGAAAAAGATGCAGTTTAGTCTGACGGTGGGTCTTGGCATAATTGCACACCCATGCAATTATTTAATGGATCGCTAACCTAGCATTTAGCTGTAACATGCCTTTTAATATGGTATTCTCATTGGTGGGTGTTAAGGAGTATTAGTATTGGTCCAGGAGTCCTTATTAGTCTATGTTTAGTTTCCTTGTACCTCAAGTCATGTGTAATATATATATGCCTTTTGGGCCTTCAATAAAGATAAGTTGCTTTCCTAACATGGTATTAGAGCCTAGGTTTAGGTCTCCGGACGCCGCAACTCGTCCTTGCGATCCACTATTTTTTTTCTCGATCGATCTGTTTTTCTCTGGATCGATCTCGTCTTCCATGGCACCACCAGCCCCGCGATCCGCCTGGCGCCTTGACTGCTCGCCCAGCTGCTTCGGCGTGGGCACCTCGTGGGCCGCTACCTGCCCCTGGATCGATGGCGGCTGCCTCAGATCGGGACCATCGCCTCCTGTGCGCTCGGCTGGGGCGCTCGGCTGGAAGCACCTCCAGGCTCCAGGAAGGCTCCGCTCCACGTGCAGGCCCGCCCGTACAGCTCCAGCAGCCTGCGTGTTGCTCTCCTGCAGCTGCAGGCTTCTGTCCGCACACGTTTGCCTGCAGCTGGATCTCATCTTGGCCAACGCTGCTGCTTCCTGTCGACCACGTGTGCCCCTGCTGGCTGGCTGCTGCTCTGCTCCCGCACGTCCATCTGCGTGCTGCTGTTGTTCCGCTGCCCTTTGCTGCTCTACTCAGCTGATGCGTTCTGCTAGCCTACTTGCTAGTTGATGCGTTCCTGCTAGCCTATTTGCTAGCTGCCGCTGCTGATCTTTTAGTGATTGCATTAGTCTGGCATGTGCTTTTTTTATATTTTTCGCTGCGTCCACCAAATTCGTTGATATTTTGTGTTTTCTCATGTCATGTGAGTCCACCATACCTATGTCTGTCAGCCTTTTTCTGGTCATTGTCCTCTCTATAGGATTTCTGTGGCCTCTCTTTGCATTGTTGATCAAAGCCCATTCCCTTGCCGCCGAGCTTCTTTCGCCGTTGGTTTTCATGGGCCATGATTCTTTAAGCAATGCTTTATTCTCTCGATGGACATCTTCTTTCGACAACCCATCTTCTCTTGATACTTCTTTTGTATCTTCTATCGGTGCGGTGTCTTCCTCTGATGTGCCATCTCTTCATTATCCCCTTTGGCGACTCGACAGGTTTTGAAGACTCTTCATGCTACGACGACACTCTCAAGACACGGATTTGGATTATCATTTTTTTTAGTATTACACTTCTTCAAATGCAATGCTATTGCATACGCTTTGCATTTGAGGGGGGGTGTTAAGGAGTATTAGTATTGGTCTAGGAGTCCTTATTAGTCTATGTTTAGTTTCCTTGCACCTCAAGTCATGTGTAATATATATATGCCTCTTGGGCCTTCAATAAAGATAAGTTGCTTTCCTAAAAGTGGGCACTGCTGGGTATCACAAGTTAGAGCCTCGACGGTCGGTGCTGGCATGTTTAGGCCACGGAAACAAGATCCACTGCACAAGATACATGTTAGTGGTTCAGCGTGTTATCCCCATTTATTCAGTTTGAGGCTTTCAGCCACCCACCGTGTAAGTAGCATGACCATTTGATATCTAACCACTACACAGACAAGCTTTTGTTGTGTCTCTTTTTTTTTCAATGATTTTGTACAATCCTGTTACCTTTTAGTCGTACTAACTGATTCTCGGACATCGGCATCTTTACTTAGGTGAAGTTTGAAATAACAAATAAGCATATAAACAATCGGTTGTTCTTTGTGTATTTTTTCTCGAAAAGGGTTCTTTGTGTGTTGAGAATCATGATAAACAAAAACTTTGCGTAATGGCAAGTTTGGATTACGTCTTGCTCAGATTATTGTTGATCCGGTAGAACATGCAAAAAGCTTGGTTGTAGGGTAATTTTCATTGTGTTCAATGCTTAATGATATAGATGTCGACGATGTTTAAAATTTGAGCGCACTAATTATGCCAGACTGCACATCCATGTGGTGGTGGTGGACAATAAAATTGATTGATTCTGCCAAGTACAAGTTGAGGCCATTTGACTTTGAGCTGGCATGTTTCATGCATAAGGAACAAGATTCACTAACCATGGGCTTCAAAATACACTATATTGGGATCACAAACACGTCTTCAAGGAAGAAATGGTCAAATGGATCAAAACTTTTCTTTCTCTTTCTGTAGTATCATGTACATTTGTACAGTATAGTGTATATATACATATGGCAAAATTGTATGAAGATCAGCTATTCCTTAAAAAGGCGGATGCCAATCGGAGGGCGCCAAGAGTGACTTGGGAGTATCTATGAGCTAAGGATGTTCAGTAGGGAAACTCTGCTCTGGACTAATTTCCTGAACAGATGTCCTGCTCCACTCTCGAGATCTCAGATACTGCACTCTAGCCACAACAATTACTCCTCCTTGCAAACAGCTGCCTTCTTCTTGTGAAATGCCTTGGAAACAAGAGACTGTTTAGGCATTTCGATTTGCTTCGACAAGAGATGGAGTGTGGACTCCAGCAGAGACACAGAGATCTCTCGAGCCTTGGCCAACAGCATGACCATGCTACAATCTGCAGGAGCCTTCTTCGCAGTCTTCTTGAAAAGATTCTTTGACTTCTTCACCAAACGGGTGTAGGATTGGATCTTGGCCTGAGTAGCTGCGTCATCACCTTTCCTTACAGCCAATTGCAGCTCTTGGATGATGGCCTTCATCTCGACGAAGATCTCTTGCATGGCATTGCAGAGATCTAGCAGCTCAAGAGAACCGTCCATTTCTCCATCCAACATGCTCCTCTGCTGGGAGGAGCAAACTTGGTTGGTTGGTAGGCAGATGATTTTTTCGAGACCATCGTAGACGTTTGCAAGAGTCCTGAGACCATCGCACATCGTGCTGATGGAATTAGAGGAAGAGATGCTTGCTTCTAGGCTCTGAAGCTCTAGCTCGACTTCGGTCTCACTGACGTGAGGCCTAGAAGGCAAACTTGTCAATCTTTGGTGGAAAGCCATGTCTGAGCTTGAAGATTTGCTCGGTATTGTTGTCGAAGAGAGGAGGAAGAAAGAAGAGTTCTAGTTTGATGCATCTACCATTCTGCTGACGCCTATTTATACAAAAGATATGTGTACAGCTGTGCTGCAGCATCTGATTAGCAGACAAGAAGAATCGTGCCATTACATCAGCCTTGAGATCTAGCAGAAGCATAGAGATCCCAACACAAAAGTCGTCTCATGTTCCACTAATTGGCAGCAAGGACTAATTAACAATGGTATAGTTTGATAAGGGATCTTCACATAGTTGCATGCTCAAGCTATCATTTAGTGGAACCTTGTCAGTTCAAGCCCCGGGAGTTTGTCCCCCATCTTCAAGGCAAGTCTATGCCGCTCTGCTGTCTTCTTATCGTTTCATACATTTATGAACGAGTATGTGGGCTTGTCGAAAGTGTCTTAATTATCAGGGGCAAACTCGCACACAAGGATCAGTTTTTTGTGCTGGATGAGCTAGACAGCTTGATCATGTGTATGATGACTAGCCCTCTTCATGCTTTGTCGCTGGCATGCTGCAGCCGTGTCTTAGTTGTTAGTGGCAAACTCATCTGCACGAGGGTGTCGAGACGTGTGGTTTCGTCTTGCTGGTGTAAGGAGTCATTGACTTCATCCGCATGTTCCAGCATTGTGCTATCTGGTTCTGCTAACAGCCGTTGTCCAACCTTACACTCTTGTCTCTTCATAAAATTGCTGGCATGCTTGCAATTCGTCTAGTAATGCTAACAAATGTAGAGGTATTCAAATGCACAAACCTCTTTGTGGTCCAGAAATGCTTACATTTTCTGTGAATATATAAATCGTTGCCATTGAGTGACAAGACTATAGTTGAAGAGGCAAATATGTTGGTAAATTTTCTCACAAATTCTTAGCTACATGAGATTTTTTTAGTGTTTTAGTGTATACGGTTCTAATGGATTTTAGTGGCATTAGTATACGATGTAACGGGGGGAAGAAAGAAACAGAAGTATATTACCAAAGTCTATGCCCCATGCCTTGATGAGGCAAAATGTTTCCCTTTTACAGGTGAGATTTTATTGCTATTAATGTGTTAACATTAAGATATGGTATGTCTGAAATCTATCATGGTCAATCGAATATTCATCTTCCATGAAATATCTGTAGAAGTTAGTTGTGGTTCTAGAGTAAATGTTTTCGTTACTTTTTCACTTTCAGTCCTTCAATGAATATAGATCCCAACGATGTTAATATTTGAGTACCACTAGTTTGGTCTTTGTTGTATGAAACAAGAAACGTATTCAATTGTAGTGCCAGACTGCACAGCCATGTGGTGGTGGTGGACAATCTGGGTAATAAAATTGAATGATTCTGCTAACTACAAGTTGGGACCTTGTGACTTTGAGCTGGCATGTTTCATGCACAAGGAGCAAGATCCACCAGCCAAGGATATCAACATAAAGCATCACAAACACATCTTCAAGGAAGAAATGGCCAAATTGATCAAAACTTTGGTGTCTCTTTCTGTAGTATCATGTACATTTATACAGTATAGTGTATGCATATGGGAAAATTGTATGATGATCAGCTATTCCTTAAAAGGCGGATGCCAATCGAAGGGCGTCAACAGTGACTCAGGAGTATCTATGAGCTAAGGATGTTGAGTAGAGAAACTCTGCTCTGGACTAATTTCCTGAACAGATGTCCTGCTCCACTCTCGAGATCGCCGATACTGCACTCTAGCCCTGACAATTGCTCCTCCTTGCAAACCAATGCTTTCTTTTTGTGCAATGCCTTGAAAACAAGAGATTGTTTAGGCATTTCGATTTGCTTCGACAAGAGACGGAGTGTGGACTCCAGGAGAGACACCGAGATCTCTCTAGCCTTGGCCAACAGCATGACCATGCTACAATCTGCAGGAGCCTTCTTCGCGGTCTTCTTGAAAAGATTCTTGGACTTCTTCACCAAGCGGGTGTAAGATTGGATCTTGGCTAGAGTAGCTGCATCATCACCTTTCCTTAGAGCCACTTGCAGCTCTTGGATGATGGCCTTCATCTCGACGAAGATCTCTTGCATGGCGCAGCAGAGATCTAGCACCTCAAGAGAGCCTTCCATTTCTCCATCCAACATGCTCCTCTGCTGGGAGGAGCAAACTTGGTTGCTTGGTAGGCATATGATTTCTTCAAGACCATCGTAGATGTTTGCAAGAGTCCTGAGACCAGCGCACATCGTGCTGATGGAATTGGAGGAAGAGATGCTTGCTTCTAGGCTCTGTAGCTCTAGCTTGACTTCGGTCTCACTGACGTGAGGCCTAGAAGGCAAACTGGTCGATCTTTGGTGGAAAGCCATTTCTGAGCTTGAAACTTTTCTCTGTAATTTTGTTGATGAGAGGAGGACGAAAGAAGAGCTTCTAGTTTGATGCATCTACCGTTCTGGTGACGCCTATTTATACAGAAGGTGTGTGTACAGTTGCGATGCAGCATCTGATTAGTAGACATGAAGAATCATGCCATTGCATTAGCCATGAGATCTGGCAGAAGCATAGAGATCCCAACACTAAAGTCGTCTCATGTTCACGCTGCCATGTTCCACTAATTGGCAGAAAGGACTAATTAAGAATGGTATAGTTTGATGATGGATCTTCACATAGTGGCATGCTCAAGCTATCATTTTTAGTGGAATCTTGTCAGTTCAAGCCCTGAGAGTTTGTCCCCCATCTTCAAGGCAAGTTTATGCTGCTCTGCTGTCTTCTTATCGTTTTATACATTTATGAATGGAGTATATGGGCCTGTCGAAAGTGTCTTAATTATCAGGGGCAAACTCGCACACGAGGATCAGTTTTTTGTGCTGGATGAGCTAGACAGCTTGATCATGTGTGTGATGACTAGCCCTCTTCATGCTTTGTCGCTGGCATGCTGCAGCCGTGTCTTAGTTGTTAGTGACAAACTCATCTGCACGAGGGTGTCGACGTGTGGTTTTGTCTTGCTGGTGGAAGGAGTCATTGACTTCATGCGCATGTTCCAGCGTTGTGCTATCTGGTTCTGCTAACAGTCGTTGTCCAACCTTACACTCTTGACTCTTCATAACATCGGCAGCATGCTTGCAATTCGTCTAGTAATGCTAACAAATGTAGAGGTGTTCAAGCGGACGCCTTTGGGGGCGGCCGGCGAGCAGGCTAAGGAGGTGGCGTTGCGGCTGACGACACGGCTGCTCCGGTTTGGGGTGGGAGGGTGCTAGGCGGCTCTGGCCAGGCCGCGGAGGCGCCTGCGTTGTAGTGGGGGTTAGCGCCCCGGCGGTGCTCCAGTGCTGGTGTGGCCGGTGGGCGCCGCGAGGTGGTCCTTCGGTGAGCTCTCTCGGATGCGGGTGAGGGGTGGCTTGGCTCTCCATGTCGATGGGCGGGCAGTCGTTGGTGGCCTCACGTCGAGCCCCGTCGGCCGCCACGGTGAGGCGACACGGGGGTGTGTCCGGTGGGGAGTTCTTAGGAGGGATGGGAGGCGCCGATGTCGGGCCACCCGTCACCGGTGCAGGGGTGCGCTAGTCCGGATGCGTCCATGTAAGACAATAGGCTTTGGGGGGAACCGGCACAACACTCTAGGGGTGGCCTATCACATATATATATAATGAGGTGGTATACAACGTTACAATATACACATGTAAATATAGTCTAACACCCTCCCTCAATCTTAGCCACTTTCTAATGAATCTAGAAGGGTAAGATTGCGCCTGCAAGTCTCAAACTGTGGCAAAGGCAATGGCTTGGTGAAGATGTCAGCAAGTTGATCCTTGGAAGAAATAAACTTGATCTGTAGTTGCTTCTGAGAGACACGTTCACGCACAAAGTGATAGTCAACTTCAATGTGTTTCGTTCGGGCATGGAATACCGGATTTGCAGAAAGGTATGTAGCACCGATGTTATCACACCAAAGAACAGGAGGCTGTGATTGGGGTATACTTAACTCTTGAAGCAAGGACTGTACCCAGATGATCTTTGATGTGGCATTGGCCACAGCCTTATACTCAGCCTCAGTACTGCTACGCGAGACAGTAGCCTGTTTCCGAGCACTCCAGGCAATCAGGTTAGAGCCAAAGAAGACAGCACCCCCGTGGATCGCCTGTCATCCGGATTGCCAGCCCAGTCTGCATCAGAATATGCTGAAAGACAACCAGAGTCAGACGGCCGAATATGCAAACCATGAGCCACCGTGAAACGAATATAGCGCAAAATCCGCTTAACAGCAGACCAATGAGTGTCACGGGGTGACTGCAGATACTGGCAGACTCGGTTAACAGCATAGGAAATGTCTGGTCGCGTGATCGTCAAGTACTGGAGCCCACCAACAATACTCCTGTACTCTGTCGCATCAGAAGAAGAAAGAAGCACACCATCAACAGCATTGAGCTTATCAGTGGTAGACATGGGTGTAGTCGTCGGTTTGCACTTAAGCATCCCAGCTCGCTGCAACAAATCCAGAGAGTACTTCTTCTGCGTCATAACAAGGCCAGCAACACGAGAAGTAACCTCCACACCAAGAAAGTAATGAAGCTTCCCAAGGTCCTTGACCGCAAAATCAGCACCAAGTGAGCGAACAAGCGCAGTAGCAGCCGACTGAGAGGAGCTGACCAAAATGATATCATCTACATAGACCAACAAGTACATAGTAACCTCAGGCCTTTGAAGAAGAAACAATGAGGAGTCAGCAGTTGATGATGCAAAACCATGAGCATGAAGAGCCATTGCAAGACGAGCATGCCAAGCACGAGGAGCCTGCTTCAGACCATAAATTGCCTTGGACAGACGACAGAGATGATCAGGGCGATCCGGATCAGAGAAACCCGGAGGCTGGCGCATGTAAACCTCCTCCGCCAAGACACCATGAAGAAAAGCATTTTGAACATCAAGCTGACGAAGAAACCAACCTCGAGTAACAGCCAGAGAGAGAAGAAGTCTGATGGTAGTAGGCTTGACCACTGGACTGAAGGTGTCTTCATAGTCAAGTCCAAAACGCTGTCGAAAACCACGAGCAACCAGACGAGCCTTATAGCGCTCAATGGACCCATCAGAATGCCTCTTCACTTTGAAAACCCATTTGGAATCAATGACATTTACCCGTGATTGTGGAGGAACAAGAGTCCATGTCTGATTGCGAAGAAGCGCTTGATACTCCTGCTCCATGGCCTCTCTCCAATGAGGAATGCGTATAGCAGCTTGATACATGCGTGGCTCAGAGGATGGATCTGCGAGAGCAGCAGACATGCACGCCGCTAACCAAGCAACTGTGCCATCGTGACGTTGCTTAGGCTGAAAAATGCCACTCCGACTGCGCGTATGTGGACGTAGAGCAGCAGCAGGAGCCGGCGGAGGCGAAGGTGACGGAGACGTGACGGTCGCCGGAGATGCAGGAATCACCTCAGGCGAGCTCGGGACAGACGACTCCGGGCTGCATGGCGAAGACTGGCCCGACGACAGGGGCTCAGAGGCCATGGGCGAACCGAGAGTGGGCGAGGCCAGCTCCGGTGACACCGGCCCAGACGGCCTTGGCGAGGCGAGAGCAGGCGAGGCCGGCCCTGATGAGAAGGGCCCAGACACCCTGGGCGAGGCAGGGGCGGGCGAGGCCAGGCCTGGTGATGACTGCCCCGATGCCCTGGGCGAGACGGGGACCGAGGAGGCCGGCCCAGTCGGCGGGGTTGCAGGGCGCGACGATGGCGAAGGCAGCCCAGAAGCCAGAGGCGACCGGGCCAGGACGTCGATCGGCCGTGCATGAGCACGGAAACCGAGGCCATGCAGGGGCGCCATGTGCTCCTCATGCACAACAGAAGGTGCCGAGGATGAAGGCGATGGAGACGAAGAGGAAGATGGCACTTCCAGAATCTCCAAACGAGCCCCACGACCAGTGCCTGCACCATGGTTAGGCAACAATAGAGGAGAATATGCAACATCATCAAATTGGTCAGAAGCAACAGAGGATGAATGCATGACAGGTGGCTCGGTAGTGGACACAGGGAGTTTGGCAAAGGGAAAAACATGCTCATCAAACACAACATCCCGAGAGATGTAGACACGATTAGTGGGCACATGAAGACATTTGTATCCTTTATGAAGAGAGCTATAACCAAGAAAAACACACTTCTTGGAACGAAACTCGAGCTTACGCTTGTTATATGGACGGAGATGGGGCCAGCAAGCACACCCAAACACCTTGAGAAAGGTGTAGTCCGGTTGTTCATTAAGGAGAACTTCAATGGGAGTCTTCATATTCAAAACACGAGTGGGAGTACGATTGATGAGAAAACATGCAGTGGTGAAAGCATCACTCAAAAAACGAAACGGAACAGATGCATGGGCCAAAAGAGTCAGACCAGCTTCAACAATGTGACGATGCTTACGTTCTACTGAACCATTCTGCTGATGTGTATGTGGACATGCTAAACGGTGAGTGATCCCAAGCGACTGAAAGAAGGAGTTGAGGTTGCGATACTCGCCACCCCAGTCCGACTGAACATGAACAATTTTGTGCTTGAGAAGGCGTTCAACATGTTTTTGGAACTGAACAAAAATGTCAAACACATCAGATTTACGTTTGATAAGATAAAGCCAGGTAAAGCGGCTGTAAGCATCAACAAAACTGATATAATAATTATGACCACTAACAGAAGTCTGAGCAGGACCCCATACATCTGAAAACACAAGTTCTAAAGGATGTTTCACCTCACGACTGGACTCCGAAAAAGGAAGTTGATGACTCTTCCCCTGCTGACAAGCATCACACACTGCTACATCTTTATTACTAGACACACTAGGAAGCTCATGACGACGCAAAACATACCGGACAATAGGTGTGGCCGGGTGACCAAGACGAGCATGCCACTGTGACGGAGATACCCGAACTCCACTGAAGACGCGAGCGACACCAGGATGCTCCAGACGATAGAGACCTTGGCAGAGCCGCCCACTAAGAAGAATGTCCCTCGTGCCCCGATCCTTAATAAAAGGATCAAAAGGATGAAATTCACAAAGCACATTATTATCACGAGTGAGTTTAGGAACTGAAAGAAGATTACGTGTCACAGATGGAACTCGAAGAACATTGCGAAGTTGAAGACTCCTATTGGCATGTCTAGTGAGAAGTGATGCTTGACCAATATGAGAGATGTGCATACCTGCTCCATTGGCGGTGTGGATCTTGTCGGAGCCATGGTAGGGTTCACGAGTGTGAAGCTTCCCCATCTCACTGGTCAGGTGCTCTGTCGCCCCAGAGTCCATGTACCAGTGGGGATCAATGGAGTAGGACTGAGTGTGTCCCTGTGGCTTCTGCGGCGGCGGACGATCAGCCATGGCGACCTGACGAGCAAAGTTGTGTGTATCCTTCCCGTCATTGCCGAGACCAAGAAAACCCCGCTGGAAGCGCTTGTGACACTTCGAGGCCCAGTGCCCATCGCGACCACAAAGCTGGCACACACGTGGCCCGCCAGCCCCTGGTAGCGTCGCAGTAGGAGGAGGGGCCGAGGCGGGTGGTGGTGACTGCCCCGAAGGAGCCCTGGATGAAGCAGAGGAGCGACCACCCTTGGTGGCGGCGTTTGCCGAGAGGGTGCCGTTGCCCCTGGATCGGCGCGTCTCGACTCGTTGCTCAGTAAGCAGGAGGCGTGAAAAGACCTCGTGTGCTGGCATGGGCGTGGAGTTGCCTCTCTCATTGATGATCTCGACTAGGGCGTCATACTCCTCATCAAGACCATTGACAATAAACGAGTTGAACTCGGAGTCGGTGAGGGGCTGTCCAATGGAGGCCAGCGTGTCGGCGAGACTCTTGACTTTGTTGTAGAACTCAGTGGCGGTGGAGTCAAGCTTCTGACACTCCCCAGTTGGCGACGGAGCCCAGATACACGAGCCTGCGACTGTGCCGCAAACGAGCGCTCAAGAATAGTCCATGCCTCGTGGGACGTCTTGGCGAAGACAACAAGCCCAGCAACGGCCGGAGAGAGCGACCCCTAGATGGAGGAGAGGTTCGCCTGATCCTGCCCTGTCCAGCCACGGTGAGCCGGATTATAGACCGGACCGTGCACGCTGTCAACCAGCGCAGGAGGGCAAGGGAGAGAGCCGTCGACATAGCCAAGCAGATAGTGACTCCCAAGAAGCGGAAGAACCTGCGCGCGCCAGAAGATGTAATTTTCCGACGACAACTTGATGGTGATGAGATGGCCGAAGTGAAACGGCGGCGGCGGCTGCGATCCCATCGAGGAGACTGGCTGAGGTGAGACCACCGTGGAGACAGTCAGAGGGGCAGCCGGCGCGGTGACAGAGGGCGCGATGGCCGCGGTTGACGCCGCGAAGCCTGCCAGCGCGACGTCCTCCGCCACCAGCGGCGCAGTGGCCGAGGGCGCGACAGCCGCGGTTGACGGGGCGGCGGCGGTGTGGGCCACAAGCGCCTGCCCGGGCGAAGTAGCAGCCGGCGGGAGCGCGAAGAGGGAGCCGACGCTTCGTGTCCCGATCGGCGCCTGAAGGGAGGCGGCATCCAGCGGCCTCGAGAGAAGTGCCGCGAGGGAGGCCGGCAGAAAACCGGTGGCGGTGGAGCCGGACGCAGCGGCGGACGTCATAGCAGTCGGGCGACGGCGACGGCGGGCGCGGCGGCGGCGGCGGTGGCGGCGGCGGCGGCGGCGGCGGTTTAGGGTTTTTAGGCGGAAGCGGACGTAACCTAGCGTGATACCATGTAAGACAATAGGCTTTGGGGGGAACCGGCACAACACTCTAGGGGTGGCCTATCACATATATATATAATGAGGTGGTATACAACGTTACAATATACACATGTAAATACAGTCTAACAGTCCACTCCCCCTTCCCCTTTCCTCAGCCGTGTGCCGTCTGGCGAGGCTCTGGTGATGTTCGAGGCAAGGCAGTTGATGGCTGCTTCGTCGGTTGGGGGCTGCCAGTTAGGCCAAAGCCAAGGCCTTTGGGTGCTCACGGAGGTGCTTGGATGCAGGGCAGCGGCCTTGGCGGCGGGACACGCGGTGTTCGTGGGCGGAGCGCGCGTCATGGGTGCGGTTGGGCAGCCAAGGTCATGCGGGTGGCATATGGTTGATGATGTTCGGCGTAGCATGGTGGTTTGGTGGAGGGAGGGTTAACACCGGAGTGCACTACTCGCCCGGTTCTTTCAGGACGATGCTAGCGGCGGCCGCGAGCGTTGTTTCCTTCATGAAGGCTCCGTCCTGGTGTTCCCTTCTTCTTCACATTGCTCCGGGTGAAAACTTGATCTTCGGGATCGGGCGGTAGTGACAATTCGGACGTGCCCTTCTTGAAGGCACCACCATGGAGTCCATGCTCCGTCATTGTCCCGATTCACTTCTTCTCGGTGACTAGTTCTCGAGAGGTCCTTGTCGGCCCCAAGTGGTTCTTTTTTGCTCATCTGTAGTTTGCTTGGTGGTCGATTGGGTAGTGTTGTGGTGCATCGGCACCCTTGTATCTTGCCTTGGGTGTGCGTGTGTTGCATTTTTCAGTGGTGTGTTGTATTCGGATTTGTATCTCTGATCGTTGCTTTATATATAAATCGGGGCGAAAGCCTTTTTCGCTGAACTCTTGACTCTTCATAACATCGCTGGCCTGTTTCAGTTGCATGCATGCAATTCATCTAGTAATGCTAACAAATGTACAGGTGTTCAAGCGCACAAACCTCTTCGTGGCCCCAAAATGCTTACATTTTCTGTGAGATATTAAGCATATATATGTTGTCGCCATTGAGTGTCAAGATAATAGTTGAACATGCATGCATGGTTCTAAGGTTTTTGGACAAATATGTTGGTAAATTTAGTCACGAATTCTTAGCTGAATGAGTTTTTTTAGTGTATAGGGTTGTAATGGATTTTACTGGCGTTCGTATACAATGTAAGAGGGGCGAAGAAACAAACAAAAATATAGTACCATGCCTTGATGAGGCAAAATATTTCTATTTTACAGTATAGATTTTATTGTTGTTAATGTGTTAACATTAGGATATGGTATCTCATAAATTCATGATGCTCAATCAAATAATTATCTCCCATCAAAAATAAAATAAAATTATGCAGAAGATACCAGCATATAATTTATTTTCATATGTGCATATGGATTATTTTTGTTGTTAAGAACATTTTTTATTTCATTCTTTAACTTAATCTATCCATGAAAATTAGCTATATGATTTTAGCAGCACTGCAAAATTATCATATATGAATAAGAATAAGAAGGTAGATACATACCAAAATAATAACTGAGCTTATGATGGACAGCATTTGCAACTTTGAAGGGAATCTTGTGCAACCATCAACCATGTGGCTTCGACCTGGCTAATCAAGATTGTGTACTAATCAAGAATCTTAAGGTACAGATAAAAAAGAATCTTAAGGTAATGTTAACTTGTAAAAAAAACTTACATGTAGGTCTATAATCATTTTACTGTTAACATTTACCACAAAAAAGACCAATAACAAAAACCTAGCAACTACATGATGGATTCACATCATACACATTTCCTCTTGTCATGCATATATTCATCACAAAGCCCAAAGAGATTTTATCAATATCGCAAAATCTGAGATGGATCGAAACTTTGGTCTTTGTTTCTATAATTTCTGTACGTTTGTACTCTATACATATGGCAAAACTGTCTCAAGATCGGATCATCCTCAAAAAGGCGGATGCCAATCACAGTGAGTAGAGTGAAGTGTAGTATCTATGAGCTAAGAATGTTTAGAAGAGAAACTCTGTTCTGGACTAATTTCCTAAACAGATTTCCTGCTCCATTCTGAAGATCTTGGATGCTGCACTCTAACTCCTGCAATTTCTCCTCCTCGCAAACAACGGCCTTCTTCTTGTAAAATGCCTTGCAGACAAGAGACTGCTTTGGCATTTCAATTTGCTTCGACAAGAGATGGAGTGTCTTCTTGAAATGTTTCCTGGCCTTCTTCGCCAAGCGAGTAAAAGACTGGATCTTGGCTTGAGCAGCCGCATCATCTCCTTTTCGTAGAGCCAGTTGGAGCTCTTGGATGATGACCATCATCTCGGTGAAGGTCTCTTGCATGGTGCTGCAGAGATCTAAGAGCTCAATGGAGCATCCCATCTCTCCATCCAACATGTTCCTCTTCTGGGAGGAGCAAACTTGGTTGCTTGGTAGGCAGATAATCTCTTCAAGACCATCGTAGATGTTTGCAAGACTCCTAAGACCATCGCACATCGTGCTGATGGAACTGGAGGAAGAGAGGCTTGCTTCTAGGTGGTGGAGCTCTTCCTCGACTTCGGTCTCACTGACGTGAGGCCTAGAAGGCAAACTTATCGATCTTTGGTGGAAAGTCATATCTGAGCTTGAAGCTTATCGCTGTCTTGTGGTGAATGAGAGGAGAAGCAGAAAATAAGAGCTTCTTGTTTGATGTATACACCAGTCCGCTGCCGCCTATTTATACAGAAGATGTGTACAGCTGTGTTGTAGCATCTGATAGGTAGACAGGAAGAATCATGCCATTGCATCTCCCACATGTTGTCTGCTATGCCTTGAGATCTGCCAGAAGCGTAGAGATCACAACGCTAAAGTCTTCTCATGTTTAGTACACTGTTTTCTGTGCCTACTGTCCTTGAGATGAGTCATCACATTATCTTGTTCCAGCAATTGGCAGCAAGAAGCAATCAAAAAGATGTGGTTTAATCTGACGGTGGATCTTGGCATAATTGCACGCCCATGCCATTATTTAATGGATCGCTAACCTAGCAATTAGCTGTAACATGCCTTTTAATAAGGTATTTTCCTTGGTGGGCACTGCTGTGTATCAAAGTTAGAGCCTCGACGGTCGGAGCATGTTTAGGCCACGGAAACAAGATTCATGTTAGTGGTTCAGCGTGTTCCCCGTTTTTTCAGTTTGAGGCTTTCAGCCACCCACCGTGTGAGTAGTATGACAATTTCATATCTAACCACTACACAGACAAGCTTTTGTTGTGTGTCTTTTGTTCAATGTTTTTGTACAATCCAATTACCTTTTAGTTGTACTAACTTATTCTCGGACATCCGCAAAAAGCTTGGTTCTAGGGTAAATGCTTTTTTTTCTTCAATGCATAAATGATATAGATGTCGACGATGTTTAAAGTTTGAGTGCACTAATTATGCCAGACTGCACAGCCATGGGTGGCGGTGGACAAGAAAATTGATTGATTCTGCTAAGTACAAGTGGAGGCCATTTGACAAACCATGGGCTTCAAAATAGACTACTAGGATCACAAACACATCTACAAGGAAGAAATGGTCAAATGGATCAAAACTTTTCTTTCTCTTTCTATGGTACCATGTACATTTGTACAGTATAGTGTATACTTGTGCGAAAATTGTATGAAGATCAGCTATTCCTTAAAAGCCGGATGCCAATCGGAGGATGTCAAGACTCAAGAGTGACTTGGGAGTATCTATGAGCTAAGGATGTTGAGTAGAGAAACTCTGCTCTGGACTAATTTCCTGAACAGATGCCCTGCTCCACTTTCGAGATCGCCGATACTGCACTCTAACTCCGACAATTGCTCCTCCTTGCAAAAGACCGCCTTCTTTTTGTGAAATGCCTTGTAAACAAGAGATTGTTTGGGCATTTCGATTTGCTTCGACAACTGATGGAGTGTGCACTCCAGGAGAGAGGCAGAGACCTCCCTGGCCTTAGCCAGTAGCATGACCATCTTGCAGTGTGCAGGACTCTTCTTCATGTTCTTCTTGAGAAGATTCTTGGCCTTCTTCACCAAGCAGGTGTAAGATTGGATCTTGGCTTGAGTAGCTGCATCATCCCCTTTCCTTAGGGCCACTTGCAGCTCTTGGATGATGGTCTTCATCTCGACCAAGATCTCTTGCATGGCGCTGCAGAGATCTAGCAGCTCGAGAGAACCTTCCATTTCTCCATCCAATATGTTCCTCTGCTGGGAGGAGCAAACTTGGTTGCTTGGTAGGCAAATAATCTCTTCAAGAACATCGTAGATGTTTGCAAGTCTCCTGAGACCATCGCACATTGTGCTGATGGAATTAGAGGAAGGGATGCTTGCTTCTAGGCTCTGAAGCTCTAGCTCGACTTCGGTCTCACTGGCGTGAGGCCTAGAAGACAAACTGATCGATCTTTGGTGGAAAGCCATATCTGAGCTTGAAGCTTTACTCTGTATTGCAGGTGATGAGAGTTGAAGAAAAGAACAGTTTTGGGTTGATGTGTCTACTGCTCTGTTGAGGCCTATTTATACAGAAATGTACAAGCAGTAGCATTTGATTGGTAGACACTAAGAATCATGCCAGTACATCTCCCAGATGCTGTCTGCTTGCTATGTCTTGAGATCTGGCAGAAGTATAGAGATCGCAACACTAAAGTCTTCTCATGTTTAGTACATTGTTTTGTGTGTCTACTGTCCTTGAGATGAGCCATCACATAATCATGTTCCAATAATTGGCAGCAAGAACCAGCAGGGAGGTTTAGTCTGATGGTGGATCTTGGCATAATTGCACGCTCAAGCCATTATTTAAAAGATCGCTAACTTAGCATCTAGCTTTATCATGCCTTTATAAATTATTTTCCTTGGTGGGCACTCTTGCAAATAAAAGTTAAAGCCTCGGCGACTGGAGCTGGCATGTTTAGGCCATGGAAACAAGATACACTGCTCAAGATCTATCATCGGTTTCGCATTATCCTCATTTTTTCAGTTTGAAGCTTACAGAAAGAAGATTTTGATATACAGAGTGCCTTCGAGAGCTAAGTTCTTATTTCTAAACACCTAGTTTGGGTTTAGCTTTCTCGGTTTAGCTTCATAGCTGTTCTCTTGTATAGCTGCACAGTTAGATAGATAGATAGCTTTTTTTATTTCTTTTCCTTTTACTTACTTGTATATACTTTATATAAAATTTATAAAAATTCTGTGGAAAGAAACTCTTACAGTTTTGACAACCTGTTTTGTCAATGTTCTGTACAATCTTATTACCTCTTGGTCATACCAACTGATTCTCCAACATCAGCATCTTTATTTTTGGTGAAGTTGGAAGCATATAAAGCATCGATTGTTCTCTGTGTATTGAGAATCATTATATGGAGAGGAACAAAAGCTTTGTGCAGTGGCAAGTTTGGATTAGGTCTTGCTCCGACTACTGTTAATCCTAAAGAACATGGAAAAGGCTGTGGTTCTACAGTAAATGCTTTTTTTAATTCACCTTCCAAGCTTAAATGATATAGATGCGATGATGTTAAAATTTGAGTACACTAGTTTGGACCTTGTTGTATGAAATAAAAGAAAAGTTTGGACATTGTTGTATGAAACATGTATTCAATAGTAGTGCCAGACTGCACAGCCACGTGGTGGTGGTGGAGAATCTGGGTAATGAAATCGATGAACCTTGTGACTTTGATCTGGCATGTTTCCTGCATAAGAAGCAAGATCCACTAGCCAAGGATATCGACATAAAGTATCACAAACGCATCTTCGAGCATGAAATGGCCAAATTGATCAAAACTTTGGTTTCTCTTTCTATACTATCATGTACATTTATACAGTATAGTGTATACATATGGGAAAATTGTATGAAGATCAGCTATTCCTTAAAAGGCGGATGCCAATCGAAGGGCGTCAAGAGTTACTCAGGAGTATCTATGAGCTAAGGATGTTGAGTAGAGAAACTCTACTCTGGACTAATTTCCTGAACAGATGTCCTGCTCCGCTCTCGAGATCGCCGATACTGCACTCTAGCCCTGACAATTGCTCCTCCTTGCAAACCACTGCCTTCTTTTTCTGAAATGCCTTGAAAACAAGAGACTGTTTAGGCATTTCGATTTGCTTCGACAAGAGACGGAGTGTGGACTCCAGGAGAGACACCGAGATCTCTCTAGCCTTGGCCAACAGCATGACCATGCTACAATCTGCAGGAGCCTTCTTCGCGGTTTTCTTGAAAAGATTCTTGGACTTCTTCACCAAGCGGGTGTAAGATTGGATCTTGGCTTGAGTAGTTGCATCATCACCTTTCCTTAGAGCCACTTGCAGCTCTTGGATGATGGCCTTCATCTCGACGAAGATCTCTTGCATGACGCTGCAGAGATCTAGCAGCTCGAGAGAACCTTCCATTTCTCCATCCAACATGCTCCTCTGCTGGGCTGAGCAAACTTGGTTGCTTGGTAGGCAAATAATCTCTTCAAGAGCATCGTAGATGTTTGCAAGACTCCTGAGATCATCGCACATCGTGCTGATGGAAGTGGAGGAAGAGATGCTTGCTTCTAGGCTCTGAAGCTCTAGCTCGACTTCGGTCTCACTGACGTGAGGCCTAGAAGGCAAACTTGTCGATCTTTGGTGGAAAGCCATATCTGAGCTTGAAGGTTATCGCTGCCTTGTGGTTGATGAGAGGAGGAGAAGAGCAGAGAGTAAGAGCTTCTTGTTTGATGTATCTACCCGTTCTGCTGCCGCCTATTTATACAGAAGATGTGTACAGCTGTATTGTAGCATCTGATTGGTAGACATGAAGAATCATGCCATTACATCGGCCACATGCTGTCTGCTATGCCTTGACATCTGGCAGACGCATAGAGATCGCAACACTAAAGTCTTCTCATGTTTAGTACATTTTGTTTTCTGTGCCTAGTGTCCTTGAGATGAGGCATCACAATATCATGTTCCAGCAATTGGCAACAAGAAGCAATCAAAAAGATGTGGTTTAGTCTGATGGTCGATTTCAGCATAATTGCACGCCCATGCAATTACTTAATGGGTCGCTAACCTAACATTGAGCTGTGACATACCTGTATTTAATAAGGTATTTTCCTTGGTGGGCACTCTTGCAAATTACAGGTTAAAGCCTCAACAGTCAGAGCTGGCATGTTTAGGCCATGGAAACAAGATCCACTGCAAAAGATCCATGTTAGCGGTTCAGCATGTTATCCCCATATTCTGTTTTCAGCTTGAGGCTTTCAGCCACCCACCGTGTGAGCGGCATGACCATTTAATATCTAACCTCTTAGTCGTACTAACTGATTCTCAGAGACCCCGGGAATGAGCATATAAAGTGACGAAAAAGTTTGTGCACTGGCAAGTTTGGATTATGTCTTTCTCAGATTATTGTTAATACTGTAGAATATGCAAAAAGTTGTGGTTCTGGAGTAAATGTTTTTTTCTTATTTTGACACCTTCAATGCTTAAATGATATACTCAGTTGTAGTGCCAGAGTAGTGCACAGCCATGTGGTGGTGGTGGGGAATCTGGATAGTAAAATTGATCGATTGGGACCTTGTGACTTTGATCTGGCATGTTTCATGCATAAGGAACAAGATCCACTAACCATGGGCATCAAAAACTGGGATCACAAACACGTCT